CCGTTCCTCACGGCCGCGCCTATTACGTGACTTCCCTGTTCCCTCTCCCCTCTATTGGTTCATTGCTTCCGTCCACACGCTCCTTTCAAGCTCACAGCCTTTTATTTCTATTGCTCTGTTGACAAATTCGTACTGACCCTGTGTTCTCTTTCTCACAGTGGATCTGCAGTCATTGCCTCTGCTAACCACAAGGAGCAATTCATTGCCGGCCGTTTCATTCTCGGTTTCGGTGTATCCATCATGACTTGCGCTGCTCCTTCCTACATCATTGAGGTCGCTCCCCCACAATGGCGTGGTCGCTTTGCCGCCTTCTACAACTGCGGTTGGTTCGGAGGTTCTATCCCAGGTTAGCGCTAAACTCCTTTTCACCGACCATTTCTCCTCCATATTCCCATCTCGTATCCACCTTCTCATCGGCCATTGTCTCGATTCATCGGTCAAGCGTAACCATGTCTGACACCGGATCTTTCCTATTTGCAGCTGCCGCCATCACCCTCGGAACCGAGAAGATCAAGAATGACATGCAATGGCGTCTTCCTTTGATCTTCCAATGCGTCCCCGCTGGTATCGTCGTCCTCGCCGTCTGGTTCCTTCCTGAGTCTCCCCGCTGGCTTCTCGCCAACGGTCGTGATGCTGAGGCCCGCGCCTTCTTGACCAAGTACCACGGTAATGGCCAAGAGAACAACCCAGTCGTCGAGCTCGAGTGGCAAGAATTCCAAGATGGTATCAAACTCGATGCGTCTGACAAGCGCTGGTGGGACTACTCCGAGCTCTTCAAGACCCACGCTGCCCGCTGGCGTTTCTTGTAAGTTCCCGACACTTGAGGATTTATTTTTAGATATTTACCTTTTGTGCCAGGATGGTTGCTCTTATGGGTGTCTTCGGTCAATTCTCCGGAAACGGTCTCGGATACTTCAACTTGAACATCTACGAGTCCATCGGCTACGACACTGACATGCAGTTCATCCTCAACTTGGTCAATTCCATCACCTCTGCCGTTGGTGCTCTTGGTGGTGTCGCACTCGCTGACCGCATGCCCCGCCGCAAGGTCCTTGTCATTGGTACCTTTGTCTGCGCCCTCATGTTGGCCATCAACGGTGGTCTCTCTGCCAAGTGGGCTAACAACGCCAAGGTTGGTGTCACCGACCTCAAGGTCGGACAGGGTGCTTTGGCTGCCTACTTCTTCTTCAACATCATCTACTCCTTCACCTATACCCCTCTGCAGGCCCTCTACCCCGTCGAGTGCTTGTCCACCGAGACTCGCGCCAAGGGTATGTCCATGTACGGTGTCTTCGTCTCTTTGGTCTCCTTCATCAACTTGTACGCCGGCCCCATCGCCCTCAAGAACATTGCCTACCGATACGTCTTCATCTTCGTCGGATGGGACATTGTCGAGTCCATCCTCTGGTACTTCCTTTGCGTCGAAACTGTCGGCCGTACCCTTGAAGAACTCGAATCCGTCTTCGAGGCTCCTTATCCCGTCCGTGCCTCCACCCAACGCCAGACCATTGCCGTCAAGCAGTCGGGAGGTGTCGCCATCGTCGACGACGCATAAGGTTCTCTTTTTCATAAAATTCTCGATTCGGTTTCCTTTCTGTTTTGTGGCTCCCATGGGGAAGGCGGGTGTGGTCCATGGAGTGGACCGCTATCGCCTCTATCTCCCATACACTGACTGAGTATAATGTGCTTGTAATGCTAACGTCCTCCATATTGGGGTGGCTTGTAGACTGCAATCGCAGTTAGCTAGTGTTGATCAATTGATCTCTTTTTTGCCCCGCAATCTTTTTGCTTGTTTACCTAAGCATTTCCATTTTGTTATTCTTAAATCGTGGTGAGTTATTCTTAGGAGCGAGTGGAGGTAAACAGTAATTGAGTACCTTCGGGTGACTCGGTGATGGACCGTTCATGCCGAAGGGCCAAGACCTTTAGTGCAGCACACTGCACACACTTCGACCCTAACCACAACCAACTCACCAATAATGTCTTCGTTTACACCAGATGATGTTCCCGACTTAACAGGAAAAGTAGCGCTTGTAACAGGGTTAGTTCCTAGATCACGTCTCAACATGACGGAGATTAATGACATAGTACAGGGGCAATAGGTCTATCGGGCTGGAATCCGTCTACCTACTCCTCCGAAAGAACTGTACAGTGTATATCTCTGGACGTTCTGAATCTGGATTCGAAGAAGCTAAGAAGACACTTACTGGTCGAGGGGATATTTCCGAAGAGGCGATTGCGCGACTCCATTTCCACAAGCTCGACCTGGCGGAAATGAAGCATGCAGAAGCTTCTGGTCACGATTTCGTCAAATCACACCCCGAGAGACTCGACATTCTCATCGCCAACGCGGGCGTGTCTATGCAGACTCCCGACAAGCTATCCCCAGACGGTTACGAACTCACTTTCCAGACCAACCAACTCGGACACTTTGCCTTCATCGGGCCTTTACTTCCACTGATTGAGAAAACGGCAAAGGAGCACGGGGACGCTAGGGTCGTCATCACATGCAGCGACGCACACGCCTTTGCGAAGGATGGTATCGATTTTGAGTCGTTGAGCCAGACTCAACCCCACATTGGGATCCGTGGGATGGGTGACGCCATGAGACGATATGGAGTAACAAAGCTAGCATTGATGCTTTATACCAGAAGACTGGACAAGGAGTGGGCCGCACCATTGAGGGACAAAGGTACTATGGTATTTGTAGATTGTGCTCATCCAGGCGAGTTTCTTATCGTTTCTATGAGCCGGATTAGACTGATATTTGTGAAAGGCACCATTCTCAACACGTCTCTTGGAGGATCAGGAGCACAGTGGGGCGTCCCTGGTTTCGTTGGCAGCCTCGTTCGTGCGATGGGTCATTTTATAGGGTTCTCAAGCCTCGAGGGAGCCATGACTCAAGTCTATGTCGCTACATCCCCACAGATCAAGGAGAAGAAGGAACACGGGCTGTATTATGTTCCCAGGAAGAACTGGAGAGGTCGTTACACACATTCTAGTGATCAAGCCCCTGATACCAAGTGGGGTACTGATGACGAGTTGGCCGACAAATTGTGGGAGTTTTGTGAACAAGCTTTAAACAAGTCTCGCACCTCCTCACAATAGATGAGAATATGACCTCTGGATAGCCAAACTGTCTGAATCACACAAATTTGCAAGGTGAAACCTTGTGCAAGAAGATCCTTATGATTTTGAACGTTTCTTTCCGATCCTGACTCCATAGTTGTAATAATGTTCATTCTTCTCGATCGAGTAATACAGAACACCATATGCAAATTTCATCTATTCAATTCAAAGTCTCTAATCGGAATGGATGAAAGGTCTCTAACCTGTAACTGATTTTACTGTCTGTCTCATTGCTTGGTCTTTCCTAATCATCCTGTTTTGTTTGAGCATAGACGTCACTTACAAGCTCTGATGTACATTCATCCCCAATTGCGCTGTTGCGGCCACACTACGGCATCCCGCTCTCCATATATAGGGGCAGCGCAGGCTTTTCCATGAGCAGCACAGTGTGCTTTATAAGATCCGACAAGTTGGTGAAATGCTCTCAAGGAATTGAGTAGATAGAATAGGAATAGATGATATGGGTTGTTCAAGACGGGAGATGTAGTTAGACGTTGATACATGATTGCAGCCTGGCACTGTACAGCAGTATTGAGATTAGAATACTCATCCTTTACAGACACGATATATCAAGAAGCGGGAGTTTGTTGTTTAGGAAATGGGAGCGAGCCTCCTTCAAGCCCGGGTGGCTGAGCCTGTTTCAGTAACGAGGAGTTACCCTTCCAGCCCTCATCCTTCTTAGCTCCTGTAGCTTGACAGAATTTTTGGTACCATGAGACGGGTAATCGTGTCGTATCACTTTGTCGTCATTGTCCAGGTAAAGGGTATCGATGGGATGGTGTTCATGTTCGACTTGCTGAGTATATCGTACGATACTACCAATGCCGACTCTACTCAATTGAAAATGAGGTTGTGAGTTGTCCCGTTGATGGCTCATTTCAAGGTGGTGATTGGTGGCATAGATGGCGACATCATCGTCCATAACCGCACCCCGGAGTTGAATGAAAAACCTCGAGATCAGTGTACTGCATATGGAAATTGGTGATGGTTAGGGACGGGGTTACAACAGCACCAACATGGGACTACCACTTACGCGGCTCTGAACAACAGGATGAGTACTATGAGAGCCGAAGGGTTGAACACTTACATTGGAAAGTCCATTCCATTTGCTATAAACCAAAGTGATGTGGATCCGAAGACATACTGTAAAGCAATGCAGAGTTTTAATGAGGAGTCCAGTTCTATAAGTAAAAGTCAAAGAAACTCACCACGAGGACGCATAAAAGT